ACAAGGCAAAAAGCAAACCAGATGTATGCTATGGACTGTAGTTAATAATAATGTATCAAAATTGGTTCATCAACCATAACAAATGCATCACATTAATGCAAAATGTTAATAATAGGGGAAGCTTTATGCAGGAAGCGGGGTGCGGGGGGAGTGCACTAATGGGAATGCTCTATAATTTCTGTTCAATTTTTCTGTGATCCTAAAACTTCTCTAAAATATAGTCTATTAAATGAAGCAACATCAAGATGAAATTGTGACCTAAAAGCAAAACCAGAGTGCCATACAAAGGTAGCTTCCGTCTTGCCAGCCAGGCTATAAGATTTAATAGAATTTAGGAAACAGGAAGGGAAGAGAGAATTAAGTGTGGCCAGAGAAGAAGAGAGGAGGTACTTTTAAAAGAAAATGATAGTGAACAAGTAAAACGCAGCAATAAAGAGAGTAAGTCTATACTAATAGAGCTAAGAAACTGAAACAACGGCCATTGGAAAAAGATCTTATGAATTTGCAAAGCATTTTCTCCATATTACACATATAATTCTGTCCTATGCTCCCCTTTAGAACCATGAGTAAAATCTCAACCATATTTTATCCTTTTGAAATGTGGTTTTCTGATTGGAAGATGCATTCCATTAAACTATGAGTGAGTACAGGGATTTCTGCTTTCATCCATGATGGAGCATCAGGGACCAGAATTACTCTTCTACCTTAAACCACTTAAATACTGGACAAAAATACATGAAACAGTGGTATTCAGAAATTGGAAAACAGTGAAAGCAGAATATATGGTAATAAAGTGGAAAGGCCCTGTGATGGCCCCAATTTGCTGTCTGGAATTGCCAGTCCACACTATAGGGAAGGGGAACTCAGAGCATACTGGTTGCCTTGAGTTTAGGAAACAAAGTTCAGTGTTTGTGGAAGCCAAGGTACAACATTAGAAGGAAGGCAACCATACAGACTGAGAGAGAGAAAAAGAGAGAGCTCTTGAGAGGTTCATAGATGTACAAGGGATTCCCCTTGATGTATACAGAGGTTTTCACTATCTAGTCCAAAGTTCTATACACCTTTCTACCCCACCTAGTCAGTCAGACCTCTCTTCGATCAGAAATCTCTATAGAACTTGGGAGTGCTATAAGATGTGCAGCTGTCCTTGGTTTAAACATGGCAAGGTTTGGGTTTAAAGCTGAAGTTGAAAGAGGGCAGAATTCCCAGCAACCTGTTCCAAGCAAACATTATTTTCTACTTTTGAACTGTATTCCACAGTATGCTTTACACTATTATTTCAAAATTCTCTCCAGCTCTAAGACATGAGTAAGTTAATTTCTCCCTTCTATTGACAAGTAGTCATAAACTTAACAGACAAGCTCTAGCAGCTCTTTATATTCCTGAACTGACAACTACTCATCTGCAGTGAAAGCATTTGTGGATATAATTCCTAGTAACAAAATCTACAAACTACTTAAATTTATCACTGCTACACCTCAAAGGCCTGCCAACGTTTCAGTATTATGTTCTAATCACAACTCAGAATCCTCCATTCCATGTACTAACATGTACTCCTCAAAAATTAATCTAGGCCGGGTGCAATGGCTCACATCTGTAATCCCAACACTTTGGGAGGCTAAGGCAGGCAGATTACCTGAGGTCAGGAGTTCAAGACTAACCTGGCCAACATAGTGAAACTCTCTGTACTAAAAAATAGATAGATAGATAGATAGATAGATAGATAGATAGATAGATAGATAGATAGACACACACACACAAAAGTTATAAAAGTTAGCTGGGTGTGGTGGTGCATGCCTGTAATCCCAGCTACTCGGGAGGCTGAGAGACGAGAATCACTTGAACCCAGGAGGCAGAGGTTGCAGTGAGCTGAGATCATGCCACTGCACTCCAGCCTGGGCAACAGAGCAAGATTCTGTCTCAAAAAAAAAAAAACTAGTTTCAATAACACATATCCTTAACTAAGAATTTTAATAGTTGCTTGACAACCAGCTCGACTGTATGGCTCCAAACTCCAAGGCAGGGAGTCTGCACTGTTAACCTAATAATTATTACTTTAAATTATAGAAATTAATGTAACAGAGGTTATTATCACAATAATGCTTTAATGAATGGGAACTTACGTGGTTCTGTTGCAGAAACACCTTTAAATTCATCAGCTGAATGGGCTTCTATGAATTCTGAAATAATTAAAAGTGTATTTGTCACTATAAATTTCAAATGGCAATTATATATACTAATTGAGTTTAAATTTTATTGTTTTAATTTTAGGAACTTATTAAAAGAAAGAAAACTTTGAAAAAACAATAGCTGCCAACACTGCACATCTTCCCAATCAGGCAATAAATGGTAACATTTAAAAGAAGGTGTGTAACAGCTGATTATAAACCACTTTCTCACCAAAACTTGTTTTTGCTCTTGTATTCGCTTATATTCGTTGATTGTACCATCATTATCTAGTCTTCCTTCCATATCCGGTCACCAACTTTCAAGTAAATATTTCTCAAACCTGACTCCCTTCTTCTTTTCACTAGTCTTTGAATATAGGTATTTATCACACATCTAAGATATAATAACTTCCCTTTCCTACTCCTAGTCCCCAAATCTAGCTTCTACAGTGCAGTCAGGAAAAAACTTCTCTAAAATTAAATCCTACAAAAAATCTTCAATGATTCTTTATTATTTTTTTAAAAAGTCTAAGCTCCTTAGCAGAGCATCCATTCCCACTATGACTGGCCCTCTGTTACTTCATCCCTATATCTCACTTCTTACTCTAATACCAATCCAGTTGTAATTCTCTACGTATGTTGTTTGTTCATGCTATTGTCTTCTTAAAATACCAAATATTTCCCTTCTTTACTTTACTAAATCCTATTCACCCTTTAAAGTTGCATAAAGTCTTCCTAACTCCTTAGGTTGAACAGATTGCTCCTTTCTGTGGACCCAATGCAAATTCCACATGCCTTTATCATGCATAACACTGTACTAACATGCTAGACAATGTACTTGTATCCTTACTAAGCTGTAAGTTTTATGGAAGTAACAACCACATTGTTGTCTGCACAGGGGATACACATTGTATTCATTTTGTATGTTCCCAGAATCTGGAACATAATAAAAACTTTTATTAAAATATCAAACTCACTATTAAATATTATCTAAATTTACCATTGTATAATTTTATAACTGTAAATTTTTTTACTTTAAGTTTCAAAATGTTAATACACTTAGGAAACCCCATAAAAGTCAAACATGCTGGGCATAATGGCTCATGCCTGTAATCCCAACATTTTGGGAGCCTGAGGTAGGAGGATCTCTTGAGGCCAGAAGTTAAAGACCAGTCTGGGCAACATAGTGAGACCTACATGTGTACAAAAAAAAATCAGCTGGCCTCAGTGGCTTGTGCCTGTGGTCCTAGCTACCTCAAAAGGCTGAGCAGAAAGGATCGCCTGAGATCCAAGAGTTTGAGGCTGCAGTGAGCAATATTCATGCCACTACACCCCAGCAAGGGTGACAGAGTGAGACTCTCTCTTTAAAAGATAAAAATAATAACAAAATTTTTAATAAAATTTTTAAGGACAAACATGTATAAAATATTATCACCTTCAATTTTCTGTGCTACAGCTTCATAACTTTTCACTGCTTCTGGTCGATTTTCTTCATCCCTGTTCACGTTCAATAAATGAAACATTTTTTAATGTATCAAAGAGTGAGAGTTTAAATTACACTAAAATAAGAACTAAAATGTGTAGTCTAGACATATGAAGTTTGTAAAATAAAAATTAAACATATATTTAATCTTTATTCACAGACACTAAGGTAAACTTACAAGTTACAAGTTGAAAAGTCAAACTAAACTATGTAATTATATGAATTCCATGTAGGCCATGAATATAATTAAGTATACCAAAAACATTAACAACAAAAATAGCAAAAATAAATTGTTAGAAACATGAGGTATCTTTTTGTCAAATACTATTATCAGTCGTATAATGATGAAGGATATAAGTTCTGGAGTGAGACTAGCTGACCTTTGGGTCAAAACCTGTTTCATCCACTTACTTATTATATGAACTCAGCCAGGTACATTACTTAACCTCTATTGGCTTCAGTTTATTCTCATTAAAATTGGGGTATAATAGTACCTTTCTCATAAAGTAGTTATGAAAATCAAAGATTATACATGTAAAGTTACTATAAAAATCCCTAGTACACAGCAGACACTTTAATGTCAAGTATGAATATGGTCTAAACCTTAACCTCTGAGCCAAGGATCTAGTTATGCAACCCCCAGGAGCCAACTCAAGTACCACTCTCTTCATTATTTTCAGTTATTGACAGAGATATCACTAACGTAACTGCACAACTAGTGGTCCCTCCCAACTATGGGTACGTATATTCTATTTTAACACTAAAAAATAATGTTTTGTCTGTTTAATGCAAAAGCATGGTTGCTTATAAATGTAAAACTTTTACTTGGATAAGCTGTTGATATAATTTTTAATGAACTTGTTCATCAACAATGAAGTATTTCATTAGATCTTAGTTTCCTATTTATTACTAGGAGTTACCTAATCAAACTGAGAAAAGAATTTATGAGCCGGATATTTCAAAGCTAGCAATGTCCAATATAACTTTCTAATAACAGCCACATGTGGGTACTAAGCACCTGAAATGTGGCTAGTGTGACTAAGAAACTGATTTTCTACATTGAATTTGCATAGCCACATGCAGCTAATGTCTCCTGTATTGCACATCTCAGATTATTAAAAATTGCAAATAGAAACAAGTTGACTAGACCTGATTTGACTAAGAAGCCCTGTGTACAGCCATCATATCTGACTCATTATCTTACATTCAGTGCTAATTATATACCATTTCTTATTGTTTTTTATTCAATTAGTTCTGATATTTCACTTACATGGTTTTAGACAACATGACTTTCAAGGAGGATTTAGACCTCTGTTTAAGGCGATTCTTCAGTTCTTCAAATCTTTGTAAAAGGCGTACTATTTGTGCAATACTTAAAGTGACTGTTTTGTCAGGTTCTGGAGGCTCTGCTTGTAAAAGAGTTTGATCTTTACTTATCTAAAATAATAAAATTAACCAGTTACTTAGTAAATATCCATTTTGTTCCCATATCTCAAATAAATTTCATTATTTCCTTTATTAAATCAAAGTAATTTTTATATTATTCTTATCTATAGCTATAGCCAAGTAATGATATAATATTTTACAAATATATTTATATGAGCAATTATCTATGAACAGAATTACAGCTCAGTGATGGTTTTTACATGTAAAACCTGAAATCTAATAATCTGTTTAATGTTAAAATATATAGGAATTTTAAGCAAGTCCAATAACAATAAATGCAACTCAAAATATTTACAAGAGTAATTCTAAATTGTTTCCCATAAATTCTTTTTAAGAATACCCTTACTGTGGTAAATTACCTAAAGATAATAATTTTTTCTCAAAGGCTAATACTGTCTATTACTAACTCCCAGAAGTTAAAATATAAAAGTCTATGGAACTAGCATTTTTCCAGTCTGCGTGGGGAAGACTGAGACATAGTTGGGTGAGACCTTTAGAATAGACCAAGCTAAAAAATAACAGGCAGTGAGAAGAAACAGCAAAATTCACAGAATAAGATGACCATAATTACTATTCTAGGTAATAAGTTTACTTAAAGAAAATTCAGCAAGAATGAGTGTCCAGAAACCACAGCAAAAGAAACCTACAAACAGCCAATGTGTGGAGACATAAACAAGCAGAACAGCAATTGGGGTCAGAAAGTTTTCATAGGAAAATGACACAGAATATTTACAAGAGTAATGCTAAAATAATTGCTTGCCCTAAATTCAGAGATCCACCCATGTAGAGATCTCCAATCCTTATGCTAGGAGGAAAAGTTGGAGAAAAAATGAAGTCAAGGACTTAGCAAAGATAAATTCCAGCATTGGGGATTTAGAACAGAGACTTCATTTTTGTAATGAGTGGAATGAGAGTAGGATGTAACAGCAGGAAGTAAATGCTGGGCAACACACTAGAAGTCTGAGCTTGGGTGTAGGGAAGATATGACAAGGAACACAGAATAGATGGAAGGGAAGCAGGAGACCTATGGAAACTTTATAGACAAAGGAAAGATCCCAAATAAGAAGCCACAAATCATAAATTGAGTCAAAAATAATGTCATCAGTTTACTGTGTCTCACCTCAACAATCTATTCTTCATTGTGTTGTCTGAGATAGTGGAACATTTCTTCCTTGACTGGTGGTCTGATGTTAACCTTTTTCAGCAGAGTGTCCTGAAGAGGCATTGGAAGAGGAAGAAGCTTCTCTTCCTAGTTCCGTGTCTCTCTCTGCTTCTTCCTCAGGCAGTGTGTAGTATATTTTATAGTACTCACCCCCAGAAAATTTCAACAGCATCAGCTCATGGATGACTTCCTGGTAAGGTCCCTGGCATGGCAGATTCCTATGGGCAGCTTCCCCCAGAACTTTGTAGCAAAATTCACCAGTGCAGAGCCTCCCTTAGGGAAGTTTTCCAACATATCACCCTTGTGAACAGCTTCCCAGCAGGAAGTACAGCACCTCTCTGGAAGGTGGCTTTCCTAGCATCACAGAGGGCAGATTCGTAAGTGTACCACCCTCATGGACAGCTTCCCAGTGAGTTCAAGCTCCACCAGCCTCGCAGCCCAGCAAACTTCTCTGCCATGTAGTGATGAAAGCTGCTCCCTCTTCAGAAGTTCTGCACCTTAGCCCTGCATTGCTGGGAGGGAATGATTGGGGATATTCATATTCTGATTCCACCCTAGGAGTTGAAGTTGTTCCCTCTGTCTTCTACTCCTGTATTCATTAGAATTATCTTTACTCCTTTAGTAGAATGTCTATCAATATCCTTCAGTAGATATTCCTCTGTTACAATAATTCTTTATATCAAACTTTCCCTAACCAAATTACTGTGTGGTTTTTGTCCCTTGATTAGGCTCTTGATACATTACATTTCCCAATAGACATTAAATTTTAACAGAAGTCCTTTCTGGGAAAAAAGATGAAGTCACAGAACTAAAAGAGTATGGAATATAGACAGTGGGTTATCAGCTAAATGGTTTCTTCAGAAAGACCTTGGGGCACAGATTCCAGCAGGACAACTCTGAAAAGTACAGGCTACTGCAGGCTCAGCCTACATTTCTCTGGTGCAGCTCACCATATACTCTAATGGTTTCCACATGCATCTCTGTTAATGCAACATGTAATGCAACATGATCACTGACATTAACCTCGCCAGCATGTACTGACAATAAATTTTGTCAGCAGTAAAAAGATTATCACAAGATTCTCAAATGTCAATGTGCATGAGAATCCCTTGTTTCCTACCTCTTGAAGCAGTAGATTCCTAACTCACAGACACACAAAAGAAATCTAATCCAGTAACGTGCACTTATAACAGGTATCTTGGGTGACATTTAAACATGTTCTATCAACTACACTTTAAGAAAGATTCCTTGAGGAGCCCTCTCCCACCACTCCTATTCAACACAGTATTGGAAGTCCTGGTCAGAGCAATCAGACAAGAGAAAGAAATAAAGTGCATCCAAGAGTGGAAGTCAAACTATCCCTGCTTAGAGACAACATAATCCTATATCTAGAAAACCCCAAAGTCTTGGCCCAAAACCTCCCTCAGCTGATAAACAGCCTCAGCAAAGTCTCAAGATACAAAGTCAATGTACAAAAATCACTAGCATTCCTATACATCAACAACAGTCAAGCCAAGAGCCAAATCAAGAGCCAATCCCGTTCACAATTGCCACAAAAAGAATACCTAGGAACACAGCTAACCAGGGAGGTGAGCAATCTCTACAAGGACAACTACAAAACACTGCTCAAAGAAATCAGAAATGATACCAACAAATGGAAAAACAGTCCATGTGCATGGATAGAAAGAATCAAATTATTAAAATGGCCATACTGCCCAAAGTAAATTTATAGATCCAATGATATTCCTATCAAACTAACAACGAAATTCTTCACAGAACTAGAAAAAATCTATTTTAAAGTTCATATGGAACCAAAAACAGCCCAAAGAGCCAAGGCAATCCAAAGCAAAAGGAATAAATCTGGAGGCATCACACTACCCAACTTCAAACTATACTATAGGGTTACAGTAACCAAAACAGCATGGTACTGGCACAAAAACAGACACATAGAGCAATGGAACAGAATAGAGAAGCCAGAAATAAGGCTGCACACCTACAATTATCTGATCTTTGACAAACCTGACAAAAGCAAACAATGAAAAAAGGATTCCCTATTCAATAAATGAGGCTAGGATAACTCGTTAACCATGTGCAGAAGATTTAAACTGGACTCACTGCTTACACCATATACAAAAATTAACTCAAGATGAATAAAAGACTTAAATGTAAAACCCAAAACTATAAAAATTCTGGAAGACAACCTAGGCAATACGATTCTGGACACAGGAATGTGCAAAGACTCCATGAAGACGCCAAAAGCAATTGCAACGAAAGCAAAAATTAACAAATAGGATCTAATTAAACTTAAGAGCTTCTGTGCAGCAAAAGAAACTATCAACAGAGTAAACAGGCAACCTAGAAATTGGGAGAAAACATTTGCAAACTATTCATCTGACAAAGGCCTAATATCCAACATCTATAAGAAACTTAAGCAAATTTATAAGACGCAAACAAACAACACCATTAAAAAGTGGACAAGGCCAGGCGCAGTGGTTCACGCCTGTAATCCTAGCACTTTGGGAGGCTGAGGCAGGCAGATTCCTGAGCTCAGGAGTTTGAGACCAGCCTGGGCAACATGGCGAAACCCTGTCTCTACTAAAATACAAAAAAAAAAAAATTAGCCGGGCATGGTGGCATACACCTGTAGTCCCAGCTACTTGGGAGACTGAGGCAGGAGAACTGCTTGAACTCGGGAAGCTGAGGCAGGAGAACTGCTTGAACCGAGGAGGCAGAGGTAGCAGTGAGCCGAGATCGTGCCACTGCACTCCAGCCTGGCGACAGAGCAAGACTCTGTCTCAAAACTCTCCCACAACAGTGTATAAGCAATTTTTTCTCCACAACCTTGCCAGCACCTTTTATTATTTTTTTTACTATTTTTAATAATAGTAATTCTGACTGGTATGAGATGGTATCTCATTGTGGTTTGATTTGCATTTCTCTAATGATCAGTGGATGTTGAGCTTTTTTTCATGTGATTGTTGGCCTCATGTATGTCTTCTTTTGAAAAGTATCTATTATGTCCTGTGTCCACCTTTTTTTTTTTTTTCTTTTTT